ACATCAGACGCCGAAAAACCGAACTCCGACTCAAGAAAAGAACCAGACTTGCCTCGAGGGCACACACTCCGTGCCATGAAGAGACGAAGAGGGGCGTCGCCAGCAGGAGGTAGAACGTCGCCTGGATCTGGAGAGGGAGAAGAGGAGGAAGAGGTCGCCTGAGGTGCGCCATGGTACTGCTGCTGCTGCTGCTCAAAGCTCGCCTGCTGCTGCGGGCAGGGCGCCGGCTGCTCCGAGGTGTAGAAGGCCTCGTTGTAGACTCTCGGCTAATACGCGTCAGGACTTGCAGCAGAAGGACAGTACGTTGCGTTGGCCTTCTGCTGCTGGTGCAGCCCGCCGTCTTCGGAGAAATAGCCGAAGCCATATCCCCCGCCGGCGTTGCTGTAGGAACCGCCGCTGTGGTTCCCGCTGTGAGCCGCGAGCCCGTACCCGTATCCCGCCTCGGAAGGTGATGGGGACCAACTTGGTGTGGGTGGCGGCGCCGACGCTGCCTGCCATCCCGAGCTGCTTTCGCCTCCGAACGACTCTCCGCCACCCATCGCCACGTGTGCCGGAAAAAATGGCCGTGGGACGCTGGCAAGCTGCCCTGCAGGTACGTTGGCCGGCGGGAAATTACCCCCGCGGCCGCCGCCTCGTCCACGGCTGTCGTAGGGATGAGGGCCATAGCCGCCGTAGCCGCGCCCCCCAGCGTTGCGCCCCTGCACCTGCCCCTCAGCTCCGGGGCCTGGTCCACGTGGCGGTCCCTGAGGCGCAGGATGGTGGCCCTGACTCCAGCCCGCACCGCTTTGGAATTGGTACGACTGCTGTCCAGATGGACCACCAACCCGCCCAAGGTTCTGCGATCCGCCACGTGGATGAGCGGCCCCCTCGGCGCCCCTCTTGCTGCTCAAGTAGGCGCTGATCTCGTTGTAGTTCTGGAGGAAATCGCTCCGCAACTTGTGGCAGTCTACGGTCGCGTGTGAGCCATTGGGACCGTGGTACTGGCAGAAGTACGGCTGTGGCTGCTGGTGCTGCTGGTGC